GTCTTAGCATTTGTTTAGTTGCATCAAGAGGTTCTACTTTCTACATGTTGTTACTACCCACCATACAAACCACTGGCAAACCAAAGGCAAAAAAAAAAGAAAAGTACAATTGTAGAGTAGCAAAATTGTTATTTTTGTTTTATTTTTATCCAATATATATATACACCACATTTTATACATTTTACTGATATATTAAACTACTAATACTGTCTGTTGTGTGAAATGCTGCTTGACTATATGGGCTTCATCTGGTAAAACAGCAGTGGGTGTGAGCCATCTTGTCATTTTCACTCAGTGCATTTGGAGCTCCCAGCTCTCATTTCCCTAATGATGAGTTAGTAGAGACTCTCACGGTGGTACAGGCAAGAAATGAGAGCAGTGGCACACTAATACTGGCTCTTTGATGAGGAAGTAATGGAGTGTTCACAGACAGACACCTGTGCCTCTGTAGACAGCCTTCCTCTTTACACACACACACACGCACACACACATTTTCCTCTTCCTTTCACCATTTTTGCTGCTACTCCCCTCCCCTTCCTTTATACCCTTCCCTCCTCTTCCTCTCTCCTCCCTCATCTGTCCTTAACGGAAGCCACTCCCCCCATGGAGGGCTGTTCAGCCTGTTTGCATATTAACCGTATCGTTGCCGGGGAGCTGTGTCTTCACTCCACGTGACTGGTGAAGCAATTGTGCAGGCTGTTGTTCTCTATTTGTTTTTTGTTTTTTTGTCACTAACAGCTGTGAACACAAAGTATATTCAGTGATTCTCAATAGTTTTCCTTTATTTTTCTCAATCATGTCCCCTTCATAGTTCACTATTGAGTTTTCCTTTGACTTAGTTTCTTTAGGAAGTGGTCGTATTCAGAATGTAGAGATGTGTTAAATTCTTCCGTTAAAAAGATCTCAGACCCCTATGTGTGCGTGTGTACTTTTTATTCACATCCATTGCACTTTGGTGTGAATGCATTTGTGAAATTTACTCAGTTTGCTTTACACTGGCTGGCACTATCTGAGTGGATTTGTTTAGCATTTAGAGGATACTGTTGCTCAGTTCCCAGTAAGAACAGGGTCCAAACTCCAAGGTTTGTCATGGCAGGTGGGTTAACACCTGCTGCTGCACAATTTTATACATACATGGCAGCAATTTATTTTTATTTTTTTCTGAA